TAATTACGATCGAACATCTCTCCCTGAGATCGTTTGATCGGTCAATTATATTCAAGTCTCGTTCTCGCGATTAACCAGTAGAGGTTTAGAGAAATAATTTTTATTTGGCTAGTATATATTTTATTTCTGTAAATAGACTGTTATCTTTATGTAAAATTCGTTATTAACCAAAACAAATATAAGAATTACGCAATTTTCGTAGTTATTATTATTATTATTCTTATTATTCATATTATTATTATTATTATTTTTAAAGAAAACAAAAGGGTTACGCATTTTTGCAAGGAGTTATACCATTTCTTAACTTAATGGGTAACTTAACTTAGTAGTTTAATACTTGTTTTAACTCTTAATACTATGGATATTGTTTCTATTGCACTCTAGCTATGCATAATCGCTTTTACAAAGGATTCTTTGGATGGAGCAATAGTTTTATTATAATGTTTCGCGAGAACCTGTGAGTTTTCCGACCAGCCGGCTGTTTTTCGAATAGTTTCCAGGTCTACTCCTTTTCTTAGTGCGGTCGAAGTCGCTGCATGTCTTGTGGAATGCGCTGTGAATTTTTCGTCTATACCGCAGCGAGACATCGCTGCCTTGATCCATCTGCTTATCGTCGCTGTGGATGTCGCTCTAATTGGCTTTTTGATTGTCACAAATAAGTCATCTATGTTACCTCTCAACTGGGCTGTTTCCTTAATGTAGGCGTCAATTGTTGACGCGATGCACAATTTGGGATTTTCCCGATAGACTGGCAAGACTAGTAGGGGTTGGTATGAGCCTGGGCGTGAAGTTTTAATTCTGTCCGGTATCTCTATTTCGTAACCTTGTGTGTCACACTTGATATTTGATATTTTAATCGATGCTAAAGTGCTAAAGATGCTGCGCTCTATGCGCAGTGCCCAATGCAAGTAGTAACACGAGACGCTGAGTCAGGCAATCAAGGGTCAGTTCCTCCAGGGGGTACCATTCTTCGATTTTTCGTAGAGCTATGTTCACGTCCCAAATTCGATCATATTTGGGCTTTGTCGGTCTCAGCATAAATATCCCTTTAAAGAGTCTAGAGATATTTCTGCTTTTGCCGATGTTGTTCTCGCTAATCAGAGAAATCGCTGCTCTCATTGTGATTCCCGGATAATTTTCCTGCCATCAGGGACAGCTTCCCTGCTAGCGGATGCTGTATGGACCTACAATGGCTTTTCAATCAACAAACTCATGAATAATGGGAACCATGGTTGGCTAGTCCAATAGGGAACTATGACAATCCCGGTGGCCTGGTCCACTATAGCCCCTGTGAATGCCAGTTCACTGTAAACGCGTCGATTGCCAGTGCTTCTGGATCGTTTCTCCAGGCTAGGAATTTTTTGCATTTTGTGTTGTTCCGTGTGGCAAATAGGTCGATTTTTGGGTGTCCGAATCTTTCCACCACTCGACGGAATGCGTAGTCCGCTAACTCCCATTCCGTATCTATATTCTTTACTCGGGATTCGCGATTCGCCTCCACGTTGTCTTCGGATTTAATATACGAAGCTGTTATCCAAATATTCCTTGCTTCGCACCACTGCCAGATCTTCTTTGCGATTTTATGTAAGTTAGGGTGCTGTACGCCTCCCATTTTATTTACGTAGGCTATCGCGGTAGTATTGTCCATACGTAGGAGTATTTCCGAGCAGTTATAATTTTTAGCGAAACTTTTTAAAGCAAGCAGCGCCGCTTTTAGTTCGAGCCGATTAATATGCCATTTTTGTTCAAGTTCTGTCCAGAAACCTCGAGCCGTTTCTCCTTCGTGGTAGGCGCCCCACCCCGTGGTAGACGTCAGAAAATATTTCGTGCTTATACCTGCCCTTTCTTATCGGATTCGAAGATTTTGGAATATTTTCCTTCCACCAAGTTAGAATCGGCTCGAGCTTCTCTGGAATACAGATTTTTCCATCATAGTTATTCTTGTTTTTTAACAATTCCAAATACCTAACGCGTTCGAATTCCTTTGTATATAGACGACCGTATTTGATCGCTGGGCAACATGCGTTGATTGAGCCCACAAAGCTCGACCATTAACGAATGGAGACGACTTTACCTGGCCTAAACTCTGCCAAAAGTTCTAATATTTTCCGCTTTTTCTTCTCTGGCAGCTCTAGTGTCATTTTTCTAGAATCATACCTTATACCTAAGAAGTCGACTCTCTGACTCGGTTCGAGGTCACTTTTATTGTAGTTTATGACAAAATCTAAGTATTCTAATAATTCAATTGACGCTCTTACATTGTTTGCGCACGCCTGTCTAAAGGAGGCAAGGAGCAGGACATCATCGAGGTATATTACTGACAATAACCCTTTCTTGCGCAGTTGGTTTACAGCTGGTCTCATGACCTTCGTAAATATCAGAGGGGCTACGTTAAGGCCGAAGGGCAGGCACACAAATTCAAAGTATTGACCTCGAAATATAAATCTTAAATACTTTGAGGAATCCTCGTTCACCGGTATCAAGAAATACGCATTTTCTAAGTCTATTTTCGCTAAGTAATAATTTTTGGAAATAATTTTTTCCGCCGTCCTCCATTTTAAAGTGTTTCGTTCGCATGAATTCGTTTAGCTTCTTTAGATTTAACACGAATCTAAAACTCCCATCTGATTTTGGGGTTAGAAAGTATGAGGATATAAATTGAGGTTCCTCTGGGGCACACTATCTAATGGCCCCTAATTGTAGCAGATTGTTAATTGCCTCTCTGACGTCCTCGAAGGTCTGAGACCCTCGCATTAAGGGGGCCGTTGGGAATGTCGTTTGAGAAGGCTGAGCCGAGAATCGGATCTTATAACCCCGCACGCAATTTAATACAAATTTATTTTTCGTTACTGATTCCCATTCGTGGATAAAAAACTTTAACCGGCCAGCTACCTTTCTCGCTTCTAGCGAGCATGATGGTTCGGTCGTGTTGATCTCGCGGGCGCATGCTTGTTCCATTGATAATTCCCCTGGCGGTCCTTGAAGCGCAGGGATTTCTGCGGGCCTCCGTCCTCGCCTGCTGCGAGCGGCCCCTGGGTCTCGTCGGCAGGCTCTTCCTGTTTCCCCAGTTGGCGGTCTTTAAGGGCTTCTTGCTGTGTTGGCGCGGGGCGAGATCTTCTACCACCTTGTCTAGGGACTTCGTGTGTTTTAACTTCTTGAACAGGTCTTCCCCAAATAAGTCGCCCGTTATCTCTGACTGCTTTTTGAGCAACTCTCGATATTTCTCGTCAATGCCCGGGAGAATAAAAGCTCTTCGCATAATTGAATGTTGGTAGTGTAGACCTGCCAACAACTTGCCTGCATTTCCCAGAAGATGCATAAGCCTGCTTGAAATGTCGCCCTCTTCTAGTTCCAGAATTAATGAGATGGTCTTAGCCACCGCTATTATTGCTGAGCCTAGGGCGTTCTGTGCGGAGACAAAGTGCTTATCTCTACTTTTGGCTGTACTCGACATATAGGCTAGGATTTCTTGATTTAGTTTCGGGGCTTCTGCATACAAGCCCCCTTTCCTGGGGAACTTTTTCGTGATTTCTTCTCGTAACTTGTTCTCCTCTTCCTCCCGCCTCTTTTCGTCTTCTTCGTCTCCTTCATACAGGCCCTTGCGCATCCAAGTATTCCATTCTGCGGTTAATATCGGATGCAGAACAATATTGTCAGATTGTGCTGGCTTTGCTTTTAAGCCCAATCGTTCTCGAGTTTCATTGCTGAGACTCGCTGATTCTGCTGCGCTGTCCACGGTGTTCTCCACGTCGGTCTTACTCTCCTGCTCAGTGTCTGTTCCGTCTCCCGACGTGGAGGAATCTGATCTCGCCTCGCTTTCAACCTCGTCCACGATGCTTGTTTCCTCGCTCGTGGCCGCTGCTGAACCGAAAAAGCGAGGTTAATGGGTGTGCAGTCGACTCGCTATAATGTGCGATCTGTCCTCCCTCGAGTGAAGGCTCACCGCCGCGAGATTTTTATCGTACGATTTGTCCTTCCTCTAGTGAAGGCTCATCGCCGAGAAGTTTTGACCGTGCAGTATGTCAAAAGTGCGATCTGTCCCCCCTCGAGTGAGGGCTCATCGCCGCGAGATTTCTGGCCGTGCGATCTGTCCCCCCTCTAGTGAAGGCTCATCGCTAAAGATCTAACTCTCCTGATCCTTATTACTCACCATTCTCTTTGTCCTCTGTATTAATCTGCGTTCCAGTATTACAGGCGACCTGAGTTTTTACGATCTCCGCGGTTACGCCACGCGGGTCCCTAACCTCCTCGGTCGCCGTATGCGGTCTCGTAACCTCTTCGGTTGCTGCCCGCGTAAGCTTTTTCAGCTTTTTCCGCAAACTCCTCATCTGCTTCTGCATATCTTCAATGTCCGCTTTCCTTTTCGACATCTTTCTCTAATCTCGTACACTCTGAGTTGTGACTCTTTCGAGCACAAAAAACGTTATGAAGAACAGAGGCAAGGGATACACAAGAGGGTGGGAAAAAGAAACTCTGAAGATTGTGGCGACATCGAGTACCGAAGGACGGTACTACTGGTTAATCGCGAGAACGAGACTTGAATATAATTGCTTGCAGCTGCTTACTGACGCGTAAATGGACGCTTCATTCAATCGGCTTTAGCACTATGATGCCGTTTGAATTTCGTTCTAAAACCTTTTGCATTATATTTTTAAAACTATAAACTAAAGATTTAAGCAAAAAAAATCGATTTTTTGAAACCTCAGGGGTGGTGTTACCCCTTAATCTCTCGGAAGTATGATTTAATAATGCTTGCAATGAGACCTCAACTTTAGTTTCATGAATTGAAATTGTTTCCTTTGGTGGTCTACATTGTGCTTTAACTTCCCGAACTTTATTATAGAACGGCCAAATGTCAGCACCACATGCCTTTACCTCTAAACGCATATTTGTATATACAGTTTTAGATATAGAATTGTCTAATAAGAATGCTAGAGCTTCTTGAGGTGTTTTTTTAATAATTCCAGTTTCTTCTGTGTTCAACAACTTTCTAAGTTTTCTGGGTTGATCTGGACTTTCTGAAATTTTATTAATAACACTGTACAGATCCTTATCTCCAGAATATCTAGCTGCATAACGACATGCTTGCAGTATTTTTTGTGGATTATGATCAAGACTCGCACTTATTTTTGCAGCCTCTCGTCTTTTTGAACGATCCGATTTTTTTTCGAACGACAAAGAAGGACGACCTGGTTTAGAACACGAAGGATATTCTTGGTTGTGATTAATAATTTTAATATTTGGAACTATAAACTCGGAATCGAGCCAACCGGAATTTTTCTTTTCGAACTTTTCTTTTATTCTACATACTTCTTCCAATTTTTTATTGCGTTTCGTTCTAAGAGTCGAAAGTGCAGCTTTTAAACGCTGCAATCCTGTTGGACAAGCGTCTTCCAAACAAATATTCAACTCCTTTAGTATGTAATTTAAAGTTTCAGATATGTCCCCACCAGGAGGAATATTTTCAAGAATTTGCCGTTTCGTAAATTTCGCCATGATAAATTAATAAAGGCGTAGCGGCATTAACTATTAGGGCTATTCCCTTCACGCTTTGTCTGACAGTGAGAGCCAGGACTTAAACGGGACTTGGTTTCGTGCCTCGTATTACCGGGAGTGTTGGTCTCGATTTTGTGAATCTTAAGGTCTAGTCTCGCGGCCGAGATAAGGCGGGAGCGAATGAGAGCTTGCACGCCTTTATAAATGAATGAAATTAAATTTTTTGAAATTATATAATTGTAAACGATACTAATGCGAACAATGTAGCGTAATTTATAATTATTGTATAATACATTTCTTTCAATCGCGGTGCGATGTTAGTCGTCAAGTCGGTACAGGCTTTTAGATGTAGGTGATGACCTGTTTATATACGTATGCTTACGTTATATAGTAAAAGTAGCAAAAAGTAGCAGCTTTTTCTTAAAGTATATATTATACATAACATATACAATTTGGGGTTTCCCTTCTAGAAAGTGGAATCTTGGGGAATGATCAATCGGAAGTGATCTGTTGTGATTAATAATACAATAAAAATGTAAAATATTATAATTTATTGTGACTTTCTTCAATTTTATATAATATATTTTCCATTCTTGATCTGTTCTTATTATATTAGTAGACTACAAACCCGGAAAATAATATATAATTTAATAATATATGAATAATAAAAGAATAAAGGTGAAAACAGTTTAATATCTTTTTTTACTTTATCTTATTACAATTGGTACAAAAATAATTCAATCAACAAAATGTTTGGTAATTATATAGAATAACGGACCACCCTCCAATCTCGATGACCTTGACATATGTTGTCAAGGTCATTACCCTGAGTGACCTTCAGAAGGTTTTAGCTGTCGCTCCTGGTTCGTTAAAAAGTTATTAAAAAAATTTCATAAACACGCAAGTTGCAAGCGCGTTTAGCACGGCGCGCTGCGCGCGCCCCCCCTCCCGCCCCCGCC